CAGCCCTGTCTAGAAGTTACAGGATGGAGGCAGAGCGACAGGAGAGGCGGAGAACATAGGTGGGAAGGGAGGTGGCCCGGAGCAGCTGAGCAGCCACAGACCTGAGGCATTGGTGGGGCAGGCAGCAAGAGGGAAGTGGCTGGGGAAGGGCGTCTCAGAGTCGGGGATCTGGGAGAAAGAAAAGCTCTCAGGAACAACACGTTCCAGGGCCTGGCTTTGCTGGTGGTGGCTTGACATGGAGGGACAGAACATCAGGGTGAGGACGTGATGGACTGTGAGCTGACTGTCACACTTACGACTTCCTGCTGAGTAGAATTCTGCCCAGGGGTGCTAAGAGGTGGTGGTGGGAGAACTAGTTGAGGCAAAACCTTGTCTGCCCTTGTTCTCACCAGGGTGTCTAGGAGGGGAAACCCAGAGCCTGGCTGTACCAGACAGAAGGAAAAGAAGACCAACACTGACGAAGCACCTGCCATGTACCGGAAGTCCGGGTTTTTGCATACACACATTGGGATTGAACTCAGGGACGCAGGGGCTCTATATCCCTGAGGAATGTTCCCAGCTAGCCATTTTTATTTTTTGAGACAGAGTTTTTCTAAGTTGCCCAAACTGGCATGGGACCTGCGATTCTCCTGCCTCAGCCTCCTGAGTAGCCGGGATTACAGATGGTCTCCCAAGCCTGGCTTGCTGTCCATATTCTATGATGGAGCTGAGACTCACAGAAGTGAGGTATCTTGCCCTTGGTTCACATAGTGAGTCACAGAACCAGAACTGGGAGCCAAATCTTTTGGTGCCAAAATGAGCCTCTCTTTGTGACTAGCAGAGGTTAGGTTAATTCCATTAGATCTGTGAGGAGGATTCTAAAATCTACGGGTAAATAGGAATGATGGTAGTGGGAAGTTAATCTCAAGGACACAAATGATGTCTGTCCCATCCAATCCTGTGTCTCCAGCACCTAACCTGCTGCCTGACATACAGCTGGGACACATTAGTGCTAGTTGAATGTTCAATGAATGACAATAAGCACATACACAGGGACAAATGAATTAAAAAGTGCACTAATATTGAAAATCTTATCATTTTCCAAGTGACTCAGAGGAGTGTGGGCTGAGGCGTCACCTGCTCAGAGCCCTCAGCCTCTTTTCGCTGGGGGACATTAGCACTGGAGTGGGCTTTGCAGTTGCAGAGTGTGGCTGGGCGTGCGGAGCAGGCTCCACCAGTTGGGAGCCCCTGTCCACGCAGGCTAGAAAGTGGCAGGGAGCCTCCAGCGTTCCAGGAAGACATCAGCCTCTTCCCCTGCGCTCAGTGTTTCAGGCTTTAAAGATCACTGGTGCAATCAGTCCCCCAGGCATTCTGCCAACTGTGAGTCCCCTGCCCTGCCCAGAGTGTGGCTGGAGGACATCCGGGAGTCACATCCGACACACAGGCAGCTCTCCTGTCTCCCAAGGTGTTGTCAGTGCCATCCTGCAGCCTGGAGGACTAAACAGGACTGAAATAGCGGCCTTATGGAGAGAATCCTAAGGAAAACCCTCTGATGAGAAGGTAATTTTAGAGATCTGCTCTCAAGCAGCTTGGTGTCCAGTGAGGAACTGCAGTGGGGAAACTCAAATGACATTGAAATGAGACAGCAAATTAGATTCTTTGGTCATAGATGAAAGCTACACAGCAACATACCTTTCCCCTTTTGCCCTGGCTTCGAGGACATTCAAGTACCGTCGTGTTTTTCTTTACCGTTGACATCTCTGTAGACTCTTGTTTCTTGGCTGAGACTTTGTTTACCTTGTCTTGCTTTACTGTCATTTAAATTGCACCAATAGATATCAAGAAGACAGAAAATTAAACACTGAATAATAAATGGAAGTAAAGTGTCTCCCTCCTGATCAACCCAGTGGAATGTTCTTGGTGGAAAAGAACTGTCAGTGAGCCTCCTGGGGACAGTGACCACCAGGTGGCACCAAAAGCTTCCCACAGCTGTCTTCAGCAGGCCACTGGGCCCTTCCGCATAGAGTCAAGTCCTGGATTGTTCCACTTAGAGTCCAAAATACTCTGGGCTTAGTTGTAGGGAGAGCAGAGCTGACCAAAGGGGGTCAGGGTAGCCTTGTTCAGATGCTTGTCTTATGAGATGAATGTCGCAAATGTTTCTAGTGAGCCAGGATCACTGTCCCTGAAACAGGGCCATCGCAGGGCCGTGGAGCTGCTGCATTTTTTAATGCATTCCAGGCACCTGGAGGTGATAGTTTCATCCCAGACGGGGAGTTTTGGGAGGCTGTGACGCAGCATGGGAGGAGCTTTTTCACCTTCACCAAATGTCCTCATGCTTCTGCAGGCACTGAACATTGTATATTGCCCCTAGTCCTGCCCCATGACAGGACAATCATTATCACATAGAAATTGGGTGCTAAAACAACCCGCATATGCCAACACCGTCATTCGTGATTGCTTTCATGCAGACAGGCATTTCTGCCACCGAGTTATATCCCCAGCCTGATTGCTTTCATTCAAAGCCACTTTGCAACTGTGCTTCTCGCCCAAAATAGGAAAACCTTTGGTAAAAGTCACAAGAATGTATTTGTATATATCTCTGCTTTCAGATTCCTCACCTCTCCTGAATTCATTTGTTTTAGTAATCCATTTTTTCACTCTGACTTCTCCATATTCTCTCAAATCTCTGCTGTATTGGATCAATTGTATTTCCAGAGGATTAAGGAGAAGTGGAATCTGATGATGAGGAAGGTATGAATGCCCAGGCCGGGCCCGTGCAGCAAAGTAGTCTGGAGTGAAAAAGGAGAAGGTCCCTGGTCGGACTGTCCTGTTGCTATCCTAAAATTGAACCCTGACGTCACTGGCCAGAACTGGTCACAGCACTCTCAGGGTGTGGGAGGGAGGGACACTCCATGGTTGGTATCATTGAATCTTTTTTCCCCGTTCCTTCCCTGCCTCCCTCCCTTCCCCACTTCTTTGTTCTGTTCATCCTTCTCTCCTTCTCTCTCCTTTCTGTGCTGGGGACTGAATCCAGGGTCTCATGTGTGCCAGGCAAGTGTTCCACCATTTAGCTACACCCCCAGGCCTCCATCTTTGATCTTATTTGTACTCAAAACTCTTCTGTAGTTTCTGTGGTCTACCCAGGTGCCCTTTATCTGATGGCTTGGTGTATTTCTTCATTTACAAAAAGTAAAGGGATGGGAAGATACCTGCACTACTCCTGATTTCCTTGGGGATGAAAATACACGTCCTCGCCGGGTGTGGTGGCTCATGCCTGTAATCCCAGCACTCGGGAGGCTGAGGCAGGAGGATCGTTGCGAGTTCAAGACCAGCCTGGGCTACAAAGTGAGCTCAAGGCCAGCCTCAACTGCATAGCGAAACCCTGTCTCAAAAAGATAAAAAATAAAATACATGTCCTTAAGGATCTTCACAACAAAAGCAAATATCTGTCCAGTGCTCTGCTTTGATGTCCCCATCCTTCAGGCCTTGAGGCTCAAGGAGCCCCAGCATTAAAACCCAATTTATTCTGCCACATGTCACCTCTCCCACTGTCACGAAAGTCTCATAGCCGGCCCCTTGTCTTTCTGTTCATTTTAATTCATTTAGGTGACCCGAAATGACTTCTGTAATGTTTGCCAGTCACTTGGGCCAAACTGACCTGGCACATGTGTCTATCTGTTCTTTACAGTGGATCTCTTTAAAGGCAGTGCTTAGCACAGTATAGGCCAAGGCAGCACCCTTCACAGGAACTTAGACAAGAGGCCCACAGGGGATGGGGTATAAACTTGACCAGAACACTCGCTAACCCAGCCTCTGGGCAATGCTGGGGGTGGGGGATGCAAAGCTAAGAGAATGGGGTCCATGCAGTGACAGAATTGAGACTCCCAGATCATAGAATCCGATCACAGGAGGAATGACTTGGGAGATGGCTGCAGAGTTTTTGAACTGAAAAATATAACTTAATGAACACCTATAGTATCCCAGCATCTATTATACGGGTACACTTCAAGAGTCAAGATCACTGGTGGGTGTCAAGAGCCATCCTGCACAAGGAACATGCTACCAGGGCAGCCAGAGACAAAAGCCAAGACCTTGTTAAATGTGTGCTCGGGGCTCCTTTCCACAGCGGCGCTGCTGCCTCAAGACCACGGCACGGGAGTGCCTGTGTGTACTCTCTTGGGGGCTTCTCTTTCCTTCTTTCCGTTTTCATGGGAAGTTTGTCATCCCTTCTTTCAAATGGCACCCATGACATTCTTTGGGGTCACTTGGCTTGGTAGACTAGCCTGCAAGGGAGCTGGGGCTGGAGAGCATGAGCTGGGCTCTGGAGCAATCCAAGAGAGACAGGGACTTATACCAAAAAGGGGCGAGCAGGAGAGTATATAAACAGGAGTCATCACTGGCAGGTGGTCCACCCATTTTGGCCTAACTGGTTTTGTTTTGTTTTTGTTTTTGTGGTACTAGGGCTTGAGCCCTTTGTACTGAGCTACATCTCCAGCCCTTTTTACTTTTTGGAACAGGGTCTCACTGAGTTGCCCAGTCAGGACCTGAACTTGTTATCCTCCTGCCGCAGGCCCCCACAGTGCTGGGATTAGAGGATGTACGCCTGCTGCCTCTTTAACACTCGATACTTACGTGCTTGCTCCTGTTTGCTGGAGGCTATGTCATCGCTGAGTTATTTGTTCCTCTCTTCTAATGTGAGCATCTGCATTTCACCATCAGTTATTGGCTTTGAGTCACATTCCCACACAGGAAGTGGGATGCTAGTGGCTAAGAATCAGCTCTTCAGAGGAGGATCTGTACCACTCTGAGCCCTGCAGTTCTATAGTCATTGGCTTGAGCAGAGTAGCCCATTTTCTTGGTGTTAATACATATAGTAGTGGATGTAGACTTATTGTTGTTGACTGTGGCTGACCTTGAGTTAATCTCAGGCAGTAGTCTAGCTCACTGCTGACACCTCTCTTGGACCAACTCTGTCCCCACCCACTTGTTCTTATGAATAAAGTTTTATTGCAACTCAGTCATGCTCATTCATTTACACTTTATTGTTCATGCTACAATGGCAGCAGTTGCAACAGAGACTGAAAAAGTTTAAAACATGACTGACAACATTTAAGATATTATATAGCCCTTTCCAGGAAAACTTGTTACTCCAAGAACAGAAGTAGAAAAGACCATCTTGTCATTGGAGCAGAACATTACAATCCCAAGTCTTGGGAAGTCCAGGATGTGGGATGTAGGATCTAAGGCTCTCATTACAAGGATGGCAGACCTGAGGCTGGGGAGGCCCCGGTGGGGAAGGACTCTGGGGCTGTGTCTGAGCTGGTGTGGGCCCTTCCAGAGTAATGAAAACCGGGCCACGTGTGGTCTAGACAGGGAGCACTGGGCTGGGAGATGAACAACGCAGACCTATGTTCTTCCCCAGAGACAAACAGTATTCAGGGACAGCCTGGCATTGGCCCTGATGCTAGTACTTGACATGGCTGAGGATGGCATTGTAAACATACCCTTAGGGGGGATTTCAGTGACACTGTGACAAAAGCAGACAAGACTGGGAGTGCCAAGGTCACGAGCTTTACTTAAGGCTCCTGTGCATTCAGGGCAGGCTAGCAGTGCACCTGTGTTTATTCAGGAGAGCATTTTTTTTTTTTTTGGTTTCCCATTTTGGGAAAAGGAGACATTTGTTCATTTGTGCAATCAAAATGCCAGCTAAAATGTTCCAAGTCACTTCAAAATGAAAACCACAGGATGCGTGGCTGTGCATTTACTGAAGAAAGCAGTATAAAATCTGACTCCTATCACTTATATACAGAGACATATGCAGCCCTTAGATTGTGCTTTTCAAAGGTAAAATATCTTAAGCCTCTCTACCCACTATGCCTACTATCACATTCTGTAACTCCAAAGAATGAATTCTCTTCAGTGACTCAAATTAGTTCAGAGGGTGGAGTTGTCATCTGTAGCTCTTCATTGATTATAGGAATGTGTTACTGAAACATGTATATGAATTTAGATTTTGGAACTCCACATATGTTTTGTGTACCAGGAATCTCTTACACCAAATCTTTACAAAGCACATTAGCCACTTCTGCATAAATCTAGATTTTCAGATGTCAGTGGATTCAACGTAAGATGCTCTGCAGTCTGAGGTATTCTGACAGCTTCTTAGCACCTGGTTTTGAAAATCCCTGGGGCCACTGTCCCCTGATAATGTAAATGTATGAGTATCTGGAGAACCTGATAGGGGGTAATTCTGTCATTGTGCACTATTTTATCATGCCAGTCACTTAGTATCTTTCCCACATTTTGGCTTTAACTATTTTTTTCTCATAGCATGAAAATTGCCAAATCAGCTCTGGCTGACTGGGTTTTCTTTTCATTTCAAATAATTATAGGAAGCATTTAAATTGCATAAGGGCAGTAAACCATGTCTCAAGATGAGTATTTAAAAATATATTTCCTGATTTAAATTTGTTGATAGTTTATTTGCATAAAATGTTAGTGGTTTCACTGAGTCCCTAGAAATAGTCCACCTCTCAGCTGAGAGCAGTGGCATGGCAAATGTGCGAATGATCCCCCTGAAAAGATAATGAAGTTCCAGGCCATCCTGGAGCTGAGAACTAAATATGCCGGTGTGTTCAGAGGGCAGAAGGCTGGAGGGACCTGAGTCTGTGTCTGAACGTGTTCAGAAAGCAAGCAATGTTCAGATGTAGAACTCCTCCACGTCATTATCCCCATGATCGGCCAATGCTGCAGGTGGTGGCACATCTGGACTGGTCTGTGTGGCCTTGGGAGTAGCACAAGGGACCTCTGGGGATGACTCTGAGAGGGAGGAGGCCCTGGAAGCTTGGGGAGCAGGAGTAGAGACAGCCATCAGCAAGGAACGGCAAGATCCTTTAGTTAGAAAAGGGAGAGAAGCCCAGGAAGCCTCTGTGCTTACCCCACTGCCAGTGGGCAGTGGTCCTTCTTTGGGACCCTTGTATGATGACCAGTGGCTGATGTATCCTTCAGGGGGACGAGCCTTCTCTCCTGGGCCACAGAACTGACTGGGTGCAGAATATGCAGAGACCACAGAGAGGTCTGAGGAGGACAGCCGCAAGCCTGTGTCCACATCTGTCTCCTGAGCCCCTTCTAAGTCATCAATGGAAAGGAGATGGTCATGCCTATGTTCAGATGCCCTCTGGCCCATGGGATCCGGGTTTGAAGACCGCTGTGGTTCAGTGCAGGAGACCGGGGTGGAGCCCACTGTGGGCAAACAAAATAAGGACTTGCTTCTCGGGAAAGACCAGGGAGGGCTTGGGGTGCTTCTGGCTTGTGTAGCACATTCCTGCTGGTGTCCAGAAGGCGAGTCCAGCTGGCCGGGGCCCAGGAACGAGCTGTCACACAGCACTGGCTGGCCGCTGCTCGGGGTGTGGCTCAGTGCGGTGGCACTCGGTGAAGGGATAGAATGAGGCTGCTTCTCAGTGGAGTGGTGTGCCCTGCCGGGCCTGGGGAACCTTTTGTGTACCTTCTGTGCCTGCAGGGGGAGAGAACACACCTCATTAGTCAGGACTGGGGCTCAGTGGCAAATGCAGCACGAAACACACAGTTCATCATCGGAAACTTCTAGAGAGGTCTCCGAAGTAAAGCAATTTCAGAAATTTTGTTCTTCAGACTTAAGGGTAAAGACAGCATAGCAGAGATGGGAGCAGCCCGGGGCAGACCTCTCTGTCAGAGGAGCCACCTCAGACCTCATCTGGGAGATGCAACTAGCTGCTTTTCATGATGGGGAATAATGTTGCTAAAAGTACACAAAAAATTAGTGAAAAGAGTGAGGGCCTGGTGGAGTACACTAGTGAGGCTAAGACTCACCATGAGACACAAAAAGAATGTGTGAGGTTTATGCTTCCCTCCAGCCAAAGCATCAGCCTGGGCTTGCCCTGCAGACACTGTTTGGAAATATTGTTGGGAGGAGGATGAAGGGGTCAGGACGGCCTTGTACAAGCAATTTCAGGTCACATCGACATGGGACTACACTCCAGGACCTGGTGACCCCAAGGACACAAAGCTGGGGATGGCCCATGGTTCAGGCAGGAAGCATTTCATAAATGAAGAAGGGTTCTTAGGAGATTCATGTTCTCTTCTGTCTTTTAGGAATTAGGTCTAGCAAAGGGGTTACTAAGATGAATCCTGAGGTCCTCCTGAGGGTGGCACCTCATCCTGTCCTACTGTATACCCCAGGCCCAACCAGCCAGCACAGCTCCTCTCCAGGGACCCACTTCTGTTGCACAGGACTGAGCATTTCTCTTCCAAAGCATCTTTCTACCTACTCCGCTTCTCTCCATTCTCCCCACAGAACAAGACTACAAGTCAACCTTTTCATTTAAATAATGGGTTTGAGGACAATGGGTCTGGCTTTATTTAGCAGAGGACCCATGGACTTACGAATTTCTGAAATAACAATAGTGTTCTGGCTGGGTTTTGCTGGAAGGGGTATTTCCTTCTAGGAAATATGAGACACTGGCTTTCACAACAAACACTCCTCCTTGTTAATCTGGAATCTGGTTTTCCTGTGGCCTTGTGTTTATGGAAGATTTATATGGGTAAAGGAGGAGAAAGCACAATGAGGTTCTGCTTTTGACCACATGAAATTGAAAGGGTCAAAAAATGACTAAGACTAGAGAGTGTGATGATCAACACCAAGCAGGGCACTAAGGAAGAAACCAAGCATGCCCAGGAGAGCAGAGTTCTCAGTGCCAACGGCCCTAGAGTAGGTGAAGATGGCACCCTTTGAGGATGGGCACTTGTGCTCCTTGGAGGCAGGCAGGAGTGAGGTTGTGTGCTGGGGAGAAAGGCCTGTGAGGGACTTGCAGGTCAGCAGCAGTTTGATCTTGGAGTTCATGTGCCCAAGAAGCAGTGACGGAAGGTCAAGTTGGAATGAAGCCCAGGGCCATGCTAGTGAAGAAGGCCTTTACACTCGAGGCAGAAATCCACCAACTTAGCCTTCTACTGATGTCACATTCAGTCCTAGTTATTCATTCTCTGTGACTATTTGTTTTACTGATTTCTAAGATCCTTATTGTGTAATTCCAGAAATCTCTTACTACTAGAGACAAATGAATTGACTCATTCTTTCAATCAGTTATAAATGAGGGTATGTTCAGGCTTTGCATGGGTGATTAAGGATGTGACAAGATACCGATCTCCTTCACAAGTAGTCCTGTTTTATATATATATATATATATATATATATATATATATGATCACTATGAGCATTTTCTATGTGTTCTTTGATGTAGAAAAGGTCCAGAGAGGCAGACACAGTTAATTTCCATGAGACATGAACTTAGGTCCCAAGAATGAACAACGCAGCATTCAAATATAAGGATGCCACAATTCAAGCCTGTCTAGGGCAGGAAGGGTTGTCAACTTCACGGAGGAGCAGGCAGTATGGAGAAGCAATGCTTGCCTTGGAAATCACTCTGGACAGAATCCTGGAAGCTGACAAGGTGTGCACTGGCTGGAGGGCAGTCTATGAGTACAGAAAGGGCATTTTTATGGTTTGGATAAAACTGGTCCCCAAAGGCCAGCTGTTGGGATTTGGGGGAGTGATAGGATCATGAGGGTGCTAAATTCAGCAGTGGATTAATCCATTCATTAATTCACAGCCCAGCGGACTACTAGGAGGTGGGCCTAGACAGTGGGTCGCAGAGGTGTGGCTTGGAACCTTGCAGCTCCTGCTTTATCTTCCCTGAGGCGAGCAGCCCTTGTCAGGCACACGCTCCTGCCATGATGTGCTGCTTCACCACAGGCCCAGAACAACTGAGCCAGCCAGTCATGGACTGAAACTCTGAAATCATAGCTCAATCAGCCTTTCCTTGTAAGGCTGCCTTTATCAGGTATCTTGTCATAATAGCAAAAAGCTAAATAACGCAGGTATTCGAGCACAGATGTGGTCTGAACAGAGATTGGGGCCATGAAGCTGACAAAGAGGGGAGCCTGAAAAAGTGTGAGGAGTCAGGTCAAGGTGGGCTCTGAATCACATAAGAGGCGGTACTTCAAAACCTGAAGGCTTTATGCCAAGATGTCGGTGCCCAGCTGTGTGAAGAATGAGTTGGATGGAGGCAGGAGACCACTGAGGAGACACCATGGTAATCTTTCCTTTGTGAAGAACTGGGTCAAATGAGTCACATTAGCAGCTGCTCACATGAGATTCTTCGCAATCATGGATTCCGATATTGAGATGTTCCAGGAGTTCCTCAACTGGCATCTTCTCTGAAGTCCTCAGTCTCTGCATTCAGTTTGTGTCCCAGGCTGGTCTTGCTGATCTACTCCCTGCCTTCAGGCAATGCACAGTAGCCTATGAGATTCCTTAAGATATGTGAAACTCTGAACTATGGGTCCTTAAAGAATATGATGCAAAACGGTGTTAGTGCTGGTGGTAACTTGGCAAGGTATGGATCTTCTAAAGCTCACATTGTTACAGCCAGCCAAGTTAGATAGAAATATTATAGGCAGTCAAACAGGACTAGGTCCTTGAAGGAGCCAGTGTAGAAGGCCAGATACCTTGCAGCTGTTGGGGAGACAGTCACCTCTGCTGTGGGCCAGACCTCAAGACAAAAGATAACTCAAATGCACCCACATACTTCCTAAGAATAAGCACCAGGAATTGATATTCTAAATAGTTCTCTATCACCCTGAGGAAACCAGGAGTCACCATTCCAACCCCCTACAGGAAGAGTCATTGCTCTTTAAGCATGCCCACTTGCTATGTGACTCATTTCCCCATTTGTTCCTGATTTAATCAATTTTATCTGAGCAATTAATCTTATTGGTTGATCACAGTTCTGTCTAACCTTATGTCTACCTACCATTTTGAACCCACCTTACCTCGTGGTGGTTTTGCTCTATAAAATTCCTAGAAAAGATGGGGAGTTTGGCAACCCACTCGGGACTACTTCTGTCTCTCTCAGACAGAAGCTTTCTTTCTCTCATAAATATATTCTGCTGTTAAAACCTCTGTTGTTCCTAAAATTCACTCTTCAGTTTTGGAGAACACAAACATGTACTGGACATATAGTAGGTTGGGAGTTTCATTCCCCTATATCAACATGACATAGGCCACTGTCACGTTGCAACTTTAGTTTGGAGCAGCTCCAACATGGGCACTGGAGCCTTGCTAACCATAAGGGGTGGGAAGATTGTGGGCAGAGATGGCTCTTTCTGCTGTATGACCTACATACCAAGGTTTGCTGCTATGGGTTCCATGTCTCTTGGACTCCCACTCCATCCCTCTGACTGTCCTGTCCTGCTCAAGTTAATGCTCTGTAATTCTCTTCAGGGCTCTGTACCCTTTGAGAGAGATCTTTCTGGGCACACATGCTGTCCACTCCTGGTCCATAAGCATGGATGCAGAATCACAGGTGTGCCTGAGAGGTGTCACAGCAGGGTGGCTGTGGGAGAGACAAACTAATTTTCCCCATCATTTGAGCTTGGCTGCATAGGAGAGAAAAGGAGGCATCTCCATGCAGCTGTTGGGAGGACGACGCATTTGGAGGTGGAGGTTGTTTCTGGGCTGGGGAAAAAGTCATATTTATTAACTAAAACATCTACTTTTTCCAGAGGCCAATACTCCTGGGTTTTCTGATTGATAAGTACTATATGTGCCACTTTGTCAGTCTTACTGAAGGACTTGCTCTTGTGAGCTGATAGTCTAAATCTGCATGAAAAAAAAAAAAAAAAAAAAAAAAAAGGAAGCCTATGTAGGTATTAGTTCAAGAAATGCAAAAGGTCCAAGTTCCCATGCAAGGAATGCTAGGGGTCACCTAAATCTTTTCATTAACAGGGACTGGGGGTAGTGTTAAGCTTGGTTTGAAATTAGGCACAACTGGAAAAAGGTAAGTATATCCTGGTTTAACAAAGATTTAAATGACTGTGACTGCTTCACAAAAACATACCTATATGCTAATTTTTACTGCATGATAAAGGCAGGAGGCCAGAGCAACCCTTTATTCTGTTGTTTTGAAGAGAGGTGTCACTTGGTCTTTTTTCACTGAGGGGTGCCCACATATCAATTTGAGGTCCTGCTGGGTGGGAGGAACTGGGGCTGGCCTGTGTTGTGAATAACCGTGGGCATCTTGAGGTGGGGGCTGGAGGCAGGGAGGTTGCATGGCCTGTTCCCCCTCTCATGTCTGCCTAGGGCTAATGCATATGCAAGGGCCTGTCTGGTAGTGTTCTCTGGCTCTGCCCAGAGGTAGAAAAACCAGCTAGCTTCTTCTAGAAGTAGGGGCTTATCTGACCTAAGAGAACTTGTGTGTATAAAGGATGGAGCTCCTTTATGTACTGTTCTCCTGCTGGGGTTCTGTTTCCTGCCTCTTTTGTCTGTCTGGTCAGGAATGCTAGAGGCTGAGAATGAATCATGGCAGATAGGTCCAGAGACTCTTCCCCAGTGGGCCCTCCCATGGTGACATTAGAGGCTTTGCCTTTCTTGCATGACTTCCAGCCCTTTGGGCTTCTCTCCTGCGGGACAGTAGGCCACACAAGGCCATAGGATCAGCTTCCTTTCTTTATGATGAACTGCAGGCTAGAGGCCTCCCTGGAATCCAGAAATTCCCTTTGTTGCTATTTAAGGAACTTTCTCAAAGGAACAGAACAGCACTACATAAATTAATTTGCTTAGGGCAAACAGCCAGGGACTTCTGGTTATGTTCACTAGAAAATTGGAATTCATAAATGGCTCGCTGAGCCTGAGCATCTTTCTTAAGGGTCTGGGTGTCAAGAGGCTCAGTCTCTGCCATATGAGTAGAATCTTTGCTTCTTAAACTGCAGGTAAAAGCTGTTTCTATTGCTCCTCTAGCAACCTGGCGGTGTCTTACTCAGGGTCAGAAACTTCTCTGTCCACTTTACCCCTCTTCTGAGTAAAGTTATGTCCTCTGCTCTGTCCTAGGCAGAAACAAGACCAGTGTGCACTGTTTGTTCTCTAATGAACCAGTCCAGAGACTAATAAATATTAATCTCCAAAAACTGGACAACGGAATGATATAAGGAATCAGAATTTTGCCTTAAAGAAAGTTTTGCCTCTGCTCACAGTGGTTCCATATACTTGCTACAGAAACTTCCCATGGAAAAGCCTATGTTGAATTGTCAGAAGCAAGAGAGGAGGATACAGAAAAAAAAGGGCAAGGTAAATTTAAGTGGATAAAGTGTACACATTTTGTAAAGTCAGTGACATTTTTAGGTCAGAGGTTTGAAAACTGTCATAGGGATTCTTGGCAATGTAGGATGATGCTTTAAGCAACATGGCTGGATTCCTCTGCCTGTTTGCCTTTCCTTTTTGCCATTAGTGGAAATATATGGCTTTGCTGAGAATCATCAGAGCAATATGTCATTTCCATTCCTCATACAATAGCACACAGTATAATTTAGGCATAAGAAAAATACTTATTCTCCAGAATTGGTAAAATGGCAGCAAAGCGATAATCCCTGAGTGCTTTCCCTCAGGTCTGCACCTGAACATATCCCTTGGCAAAAGCCACTGCTTTGCAAAACCCCCTCCCTTTGGCCCCATGTCCTTTGGGAACCCTAACCTGTATGTTCCAGCCACTGGGAACTACCATCATTTTCAAATACAGTGGACTCACATATAATCCTGAGACTTTCTGTTGTACTTTCAATCTCCGTCCGCTAAGAGAGATACCTTCCTGCTGAGAGAGATCACCTGCCGTCTTCTGAGACAAGGTTCAAGGTGATACTGTGGTCCCTGTTTTGAAAAACAGCAGGCCTTATCTTCTTTTGAAGTCCTGTAAGGGCTCCAATGTTTAGGTTTTATTGGTTTTGTTCTGTACTGTTTTGTTCAATTTTATTATACCTGATGATATAGGCAATTCTTTTTAAGATAGCAAGAAGCATTATGATAACCATTGTTGATCACCTGGTATTCTGTTTTTACATCATGTACTATGTCCATCCTTTTGTTTTGACTGACTCTATTTTGTTTTGTCACATTTGGTTTTATTCTCTTCAAAAAAAAGTAATAAAAACTGTAGAAGTAATAAAATCCAAAATGTGTAATTGTTACTGGAAAAAAGAGAGGAAAAGAAAGTGCTCTAAAGGATATAACTGCATGTATATTTAAGTGTGCAGGGTAGAAAACCATATTATTAAGTTTTTGTTAGATCACTGAACAGAACTGTCTGCAATCTCACTGTTTGAATGTCCACTTTATATGCTTTAATTTTGTAACTTGAACAAGTTACAAATTTCTAAGATGACAATATGTATTCTATTAACTAGTGTTTCTTACTGTTTGCTTTTTTGAAATTCTGTATTACTTGTACCCTTTTACTGTTTTGTTTTTTTCTCTTTAAATAAAAAAAAAAAGAAAAAAAAAAAAGAAAAACAGCAGACCCTCACTGCAGAGACACACAGCTCCGAGAGAAACTGCTGAGCACGGGGCAGGGATATTTTCAGCTTTCATATACTTCCAAATATTTTCCAAACTGATGATATCAATGTATAATTCTACCAGGAATTGATAACTATTTTAATTGCTCTGCATCTCCACTAAGAGTTAATATTGCCGTTGTTTTTAATTTTAGGAATTCTGGTGGACAGTGGTATGTATTTGTATTGCCCTGATGATTGATTATATGGAGCATTTTCCTATGGGTTAATTGGTTTTTTTTTTGGAATTTTCTTGTCTTTATATATGCAGATTCATTTCTTAGATATATGCATTGCAAATATCATTATCCAGTCTGTACCTCATCTTTTTAGTGTTTTGGTGTTTTCTTTTGATGAACTGATATTCTTATTCTTAAAACAGTGATTTCTGTTTTTTTTCTTTCAAGTGTAGTACTTTTGTTCCATTTTAAAAAGAACTCTTTTTCTATCCCATCTAGTAGCCCATCTGAAATACAGTGAGAAGGGCAGCCCAGAAAAGAATTTGGTCTCTAAGGACTCTGAACTACTGCAAGGAGGAGAGAAAAACAGACATCCAGCTTTATTAAGCTACTATTTTTAAGCCCTGTGATCTCCACTTGAACTGAAGTTTATAAAATCACTTACAATAAATAAACAACAGACATTTTGCAGAAATACCCATTTATATGTTTAGAGGAGTTGTGTTAGTTACAAAATCTTTACTTAGTGCTTTAAAATATATATCTTCTAAAATAGATTATCAAGAAAATTTTAAGTTGATTCATACATGTAAACACAAATATATCAAAAATAGTATTTATTTATTTATTTATTTACACAGGGCCTTTGTACTGAGCTATATCTCCAGCCCTTTTTAATTTTTTACTTTGAGAGTGGGTCTTGGTAAGCTGCTACATTGCCCAGGCTGGCCTTGATCTTGCAGTCCTCCTACATCAGCCTCCTAGACTGCTGGGATTACAGATCACAGAAATAATAGTGCTATCTAATGATAATGTGAATATTTTCCAGCTGAAGAATGTTTGAGGGATGTTTCAAGGGTCTACTTTGTTTACTACAGGAGCAGCTCTTGGAAACACGTGGGAAGTGTCACAGGGAGACAAAACAGAAAGGGACTGAGCACCTCGCAGTGCGAGGAATGACCTGGGAGATGGATCTGAAAAACAATCCAGTAAGACAGAAGAGCAACTGAGAAAATCAAGGTCATGTCTGAGGACTGGGAGCTCAGGCTGACAGCTAGTGAAACTCGTAACCCTGAAGAAAAGGCCAGAGAGAGCACCACGGCCATGTGCAAAGCTTTCTGTTTACGTAAGTTCTCCATTTTCCTATGTCTGCATGATTGTGATTTACTCTGCCCACTGGGCGGTAGGGGGCAGGACCAGATGAAACTGACAAGAGTGTAGAATTTCATTAATTATCACTGTCAACTGCTTTTTATAAAGACTTACACCACATTCCGATTTTACCACCTCTTCATTCATGCACAAACACTGCATGTGCCCTCTCTGTCTCCCCTACAGATTAGTTACCTTCTCCTCCCCTTCTTTTAAGTTAGCCTAACACAAGGCTTGGAGCACTGAGTCTTGCTCCATGCCATGGCTGACGATGACAAATGCAAGAGACAGTCACTGAAGGCAGGAAGGACATATGGAGATACACAGGGAACAAGGGAATGTGTACTTTCAAAGTCACCCTACTGACCTGGCCTGCCCGGCCCCTTATATGAAGCTGAGGCAGACGGAGGTCTGGTTCTGTTTAACTGTGCCACCCAGCCTGCCGAGGGGAGGGAAATGGCTGGTCTGGTGGGTAGCACTCCTTTGAACTTCAACGTGGGATGCTTGTATGTTTTGGCTTGGACTCCAATCTCTAATTCAGAGACAGCTACGCCCCCACCATTATCATCTGACACAGATAAAACTGCTCACGAAAACCGAAAGACAGTGCTATTACATAGCTGAGCTATCTGACCATCTTGGAAAAGGACTTACACTTAAACTGTGCAAACACCAATGAGGTAGGCAGGTCCACAAAGCCTCTTAGAACAGTGCACTGGCCTTGGCAAGCTCGTGTCATGGCTTAGATAACAGCTGGTCATCCCTTTCCTTCCACTGTCAGCGGGATCACTCCCACCATCATTTGAATCATTGAAAATATGTATTTGCTAGAAAAGATACTGACAAGGTATCAGTCTCAAGGCTGATATGATCATGAAAATATGCCAAGTAGAGGAATGAAAGCAGAATTTATTCAGTGACTTCACAGTATTTCATAGTCCTTGCCGAATCTAAGAATGCTTTGCAAAGGTTTTTTAAAAAATGTCTATTTGAAAGCAGCTGAAGCAAAATCTCTGGGCTGAGTCCCAGACAGGAGCTATTCCACTCTGCAGGTGATTTCAGTGTCCTGCCAGCTCAGGAAACTGTTGCTATGGCTGGCTTTCTGATTTTCTCTATGCCTAGTCCGTCTGTCTGTCTGTCTGTCTGTCCTGAAAAGGACTATATCTACTTTGAAGTCTACAGAAATTAGGCTGTTCTGGGTGATTATATATTTTCATGGCTATGTACTTTTAAGGACTTAAACTCTTTCTTGCTCTCTGTGAAGTAAACTCTTGCAAACTGCCACCTCCAAAAATCTGCGCTTTTGGAAGGCTCTAAAGACGAAGACTCAGAAAACTGCCTTTCTCTTATACAATTCAGAAAGCTTGAGGGACAGGTGAGGCGAGCACGCAGAAATACTTTCTCTCCTTGTCTTGCCCTTTGCTATGCTAATTTACTTAGCATTCATTTCCGCCTCTTTTTATACAATTATTTTGGCTGAAGTGTACTGTACTTGTCCCTTCAATAAATCTGTCTGGAAAATAATACCGATGATAGAAATTCTGGAGAATGAGTTTCTACTGCCACGTTCCCCCTCCATAATTTTTCACGTTGTTCTTATCTGCAAAGCTGTTTATGTAACAAAACCTGCTTTTTATCCTTGAATCCTCATCAGTTCTGTGGCTTACACAAGTTTTCTCCTATGGTATTATCTGCTAACTCGCTTGAAACAGAGAGCAATTGAGTACTTGTAAAGTGTATGCCAGAAACACAAGGTACTTACATCAGAAGGGATCAACTGACTGCCCACAGAACAAAGGCCAGACTGAACACAAGCCCCCTCTAGCCCTGCTCAGAACTCATGGACATCATTGCCACTGGAGATTACAAAGAATGAAGACAGAGCTCATCTTTTCCATAAACCTGCCTAACTGGGAGAAGGCAGTGATTGTTGAGATTGATTTTGTAGCAACAATGCCTCTACTCAGCAAACAAAATTTAGGCCAGCACCCTAAGGTTGGATGGGTTTTTAAGAAGCATGCCAGGAATATGTCTGAGGCTCATTTTTGCTATTATTCACAAAGCAGAAATCCTCATTATGTTCTGAGTTGCTCTTCTGGCCAGAATTCTGTGTGGCCTTTTGTGGGTAGTAAAAATAAGTAAAAACATTACATAATAATGACTTAAAATTCTATCTTTGAAGTGCTTATTATTAAGATACAGATGCAGAAACAGAAGGACTTAACAATGAAAGAACTTGATAGAATCTCAGTGACGATGCTAGCTAAATATCTTTGGACAAAGATAGGATGTATTTTTGAGGATTGTAAACCTGAATTATCTCAGGTTTACGTTTCTAGATCTGGCAATAACATGGTATGTGGTTGGCCATGTGCCTAAAGAAGTACCCTCTGGGGACATCAGGGATGGAGGATAATTCTGGGTTTTAGGTGTCTGGTTCAGGTTGGGTCCATCTTGAGTTACAGAGGACCTTACAGAGGATTGGCCAGGTCTCCATTTCCATGGGATCTTCGAAAGCCCAGAGCAAATAAGGCACTCTGGGAACATTGTCAGCTAGAGGGGTCCTCAGAGTACCTCACTGGTTCCCAGCTCTCCCCTTTCAGTCACTGACCCTTGGAATTTTTTTTTATTGGTACCGGGGATCGAACTCATGACCGCCTGCTTGCAAGGCAGGTGCTTATGCCACTGAGCTAAATCCCCAGCCCTGACCCTTGGAATTTCTACATCTTCAGGACCCACCCCAGGTATATCTGAACCAGTCTTGGCTGGAATTAAACTAACTTTCCTTTATTCAGGGTAAAAGTCTGCATAATCAATGAAAATTTGGGAATGTTAATACAGTTTCAGATCTGCCTTCATGCACAGAAAAAACTCAAAGCCACATTTAAAAATTAGTGTACAGCGCTGGGCACGTAGCTTAGTGGCACAGCACGTGCCTACATGAAAACAGCAGTGGGGTTCAGTCTCCGCAATACACACAGGCAACACGCACCCACACAATGCACTATTCAATTAACGTTATCAATTTCTAGTTCATTTTCTCTTAAATACATTGATCTGAGTTCAATTTACAAGTCTTCTCACTATTGGTAAATCCAGCAAATGTTAACAATTATTTAAAGGACCTTTTGAAGCTTAATTTCCTTTGACATTCTAAAGTGCATTTTTATATTTAATGTATTGGTTTTCTTTAGCATTTTTTCTTTCTTTCTTTCTTTCTTTCTTTCTTTCTTTCTTTCTTTCTTTCTTTTTTCTGGTTGTGCTAGGGATCAAATCCAGAAACTCGACATGCTGGGCAAGTGCTTCACATTGATGTACCACAAGCCATTTGATTTTCTTTTTAAGTAGATCAGTGATCTGATTAATAAACAGAAAATTTGAAGTATGTAAATAACTCTTATAAATCTAATCATGAAACATAAACAAAGGAAACCCTAAATCCTCTTAAATGGTTCAATGTTACAAATTTACTAAAACTTCACTCTTATATTGCCCAACCTGAAAGCACAAATGTAAATCAATTCTAAATTACACTTAAAATTGGAACAAGGTTGGCCTCTAGTTCTGAAAGGTCACATGCTCTAAAACACAACAAATGCTTAAAATAGCAAACATGAACAAATTGTTTTTGAACTTACAACAAAAATGCTAATATTAGGAATTTGTGATTTTCTTTTCCCTTAATTCCGAATTTTTCTGGTATGAGATGTGTCTGCCAGGGAGGCAATTGCATCATTCCAAACAGTTTGGGGTTGCTTTTCCAGCTAACTGAAATTATCCATGGATGGTGATTTTGGCAGGGAGGAGTCCCACCAAGCAGGGTTGATTAACAGGGGTTCCAGAGCTTCAAGGGGCTGTTCACATGGTCCATCTCCCTGAACTTGACTCATTATTTAATTCCTGTCCATGACAGACTTCTGCAACTCAACTCAGACTGAGGGTAATTTCTATCAACACCTCACTGACTGCACGTCTTTATTTCTCTTCTGATACTTACACACTCAGCTGAGTTCTACGTTTCTCTCAAGTCTTTGCTGCCTAAGTAGTCCTCTAATAAGCAAGTAGTCTTGGGTTAATGGAACAGACAAGTGGGTTGAACTTGGAAGGCCCAGATATGTGACATGTCCTATTCCAAAGAGGTACCAAAGAAGCAACCTCACACATACCTGCTGGCAGCTGAAGTGGGAAGCAGGGTAAGGAAAGAGAGGAGATAAAGTGGCTCAGAACACAAATGTCAGCATCGTTAGACATAAAGGTATCTCCGAAAGCAATTTCCTTCCCTGGTTCGCACAGCCTTAGAGTATAGTGTCCCTTGAGAGCATTCACGTGCCACAGGCGTCCAAAGAGTCAGCTTCCGCCCAAGGTCCTGGTCCTACGAGTTCATGCCCAGTGATCCTACTCCTGCCATTTGATGACTGAGGCAAGGTGAATTCCTGATCTTAGGGAAAGCAATGAAAAGATTAAGCTGAAACCACTGGATTGCCTTTCCTGACCAGGCATACTGTTGTGCAAGGAAGTCACAACAGTACAGCGTGAGACTGAAGTTGTTTCTAATGGAAAAGCTACTAGCTCTCACTTAACCCCAGTTCTGCTGTGGGAAGGAGATTAAAGACCTTTTCATATCTCGTTTCAAAGGACAGAGAGCAGCACTGAATTTTGTACTGAGTGTTTTACTTGTTTTGCGACTAAGAACAGAAACCAACATATACTAATAAGCACTCTGGGAGGCTGAGGCAGGAGGATTACAAGTTGGAGCCCTGTCTGGGCAATTTAGTGAGACCCTGTCTCAAAATGAGAAAATAAAAAGGGCTGGAGATATAGCTCAGTACAAAAGCCCTGGGTTAAATTCTTGTACAGAAAAAAAGGGAGACTGAATTTATATTAAATTTAATTTACATCGATACTGAGGAGATGCTTGTGACTACAGAGTTGTAGCTGGCTCACAGGATAAGTGGAACTTAGGGATCAGACACA